CGCGGAGCACGTGGAGCTTGCGCGCGGCGGGCGGCCGCGGCGGCCGCCGCCGCCGCGTCGTCGCCCTCGCGGGGCGCGCGCAGCGGGCGTCTCGCGGTTCGCCGCGCCGGGCCCGGCGGGCGCCGTCGCTGCGGCGGGCTCTCAGCGCGGCCAGCTCCACGGCTGCCGCGCTGCAGCGAGCGCGCCCAGTCCGCTCGCGCGCTCCAGGAAGAACGCAGGAGGCGGCAAGCGGGCCCGTCGGCGAGACGGTCCGCGGCCACGTTGCCAGCGTGGGTTTCCGGTGAGAGCTCCAGCTTGCGGGCCGCCGCGGCTCGTCCTAGGGCCGCCGCGCCGCGGCGGCCGATGAGGCGGAGATTGGCGACGATGTCGACCGACCCAGTGATCAGACTCAGCGCGCGCACCGCCGCGGCGAGCTCGCACTGAGCAGTCTGCGCGCAGTTCCCCGGCCCAACGTGCTCGACGCGCCGAACTCCCCAGCCCGTTCGTGCGAGCAGCGGGTCGCTCGGCTGCATGCGGGCCCCGTCCGTCCAGTCGCGCGCCCTTTAGCTGGCTGGCAGCTTGGCAGCACCTGCGGGTCAAGCAAGGGGCAAGGGGCAGCAGCGGCAGCGACGGCCAGGCCTGCGCCGCGAGCGCCGCCAGCCGTGAGTCCTGGGGCAGCACCCCTGCGAGGGAGGTCTCAGGCGGCAGCCTCGCGTGGACCGCGTCGCGGTGCCTGCTCGCGGAGCCGAGGTCGGCGACCCATGTGGGCTCCCAGCACGGGCGCTGCCATAGGTGATGCTCCAAATCCTCTAGCGCCGCGCAGCAGCGTGGGCGCAGTGCTGACGGGCCCCACTTCGGCCACTGTCTCGGTCATCGCGTTCCCAGAAATCACGGCGCGGAGCGCCCCGGCAGAATCGGGCGCCTGCTCGCCGCCGACCAGCAACCGCCGTTTGCCCCATTTGCCAATTCCGCGCCGTTTGAGTCGCGCTGGCAGGCCACACGCCTCTTCGCCAGCGAGTGCGCCTCGCGCTGGGGCCACGCTGCGAGCAGCGCGGCGCTGGCGGCCTGCCAGAGCGCCGCCAGGACCGCGACCGCCGCTGGGTCCAGCTGCCAGCTCGGCGCCAGCATTCCGAACGCGAGCTCTGCGGCCGTCTGCATGCCACCGAAGCAGACGGCTTGCCGCGCCGACGCGCGGAGACCACCCAATTCCAGCGCTTGCCCGCTTGCCAGCCGTGGCGGCCACGCCCAGGTCACGGAATTGCGTGCCCGCGGAGATCCCGGGCGTCTGTTCCGCCAGCCAACGCCCGAACACCGTGCGTTTGACGAATTGGCGGGGATTTGCCCACGTCAGCTTCCAACCCATGGCCGCTTCGACCGCCTCCGTTACCTGCAGCCCTTGCTGGGCTGATCTCGTCTGCCGCGTCGCCGCTGGCCTCGGCGGCTACCTGCGCCCGAGGTTTTCGACGCGCACCCCGCGGCGGAGGCGGTCGCCCGCGCGGCCCGCGCGCATCGCCCACGCCCGCGCCAGGACCTCGAGCACGAGCGCCGCCAGGGGGCGGCCTTGGAGGAGGCCGCCCTCGGGCGACCAAGCCGAGCCGATGGCTTTGCCCGCCCGCGCCTGGCGACTCGCAGGGTAGGGCCCCAGCGCCAGCCCCGCGACCCAGGGCGGCGCCCCTGCCCGGGCGAGCACTGCAGGCACCGTGCCCAGGTCGCCAATCCAGAGCGGCGCCCGCCAGCCCTTCGGAGAGGGCGTCGGCCGCCTCCTATAGACCCAGGGCGAAGTCCCCAGCGAAGACCTCTGCGTCGCGCCGCCCCTCGTCGCCCCCCCCCCCCCCGCGCTCGCGCCGCCGCCGGGCGTGGGCGCGCGCCTGGCCAGCAGCCCGGAGCTTGCAGAATGGACGGGCAACAATCAGATGGGCCTGCGCCCCGCGGGGGCCTCGTCGCCAGCCGTCTTCGGGCAGCGGGGGGCGATCGGGCTCCACGGGCCCCCGGGGCCGCGTGCTCTGGGCCTCCGCCTCGTCGAAGAGTCTTGCGATCCACGAGCGCAGCTCTACGTGTGGCAGCTGGAGCTCGTCGATCGCCCTAGCGTCGAGTCCTGGCTTCTGGCGCTGGGGCGCGCGCTGCGGGAGCGCGCCGAGCGACTCGGCCGCCCAGCGCGCCCGCCGTGGGAATGAAGCCGGCGCCCCGCCCAGGTCCCGCAGCCACTCGGCGACGGGCGGGCCTGGCGGGCGTTGCCGAAGCTCCTTGCAGCAGGCCCTCGCAGCAGCGCAGCCGCGCCGCCTGCAATGCCAACGGTCACTGCCGGCTGCCTGGCGCGGGCGCCAGCCCCAGCGCCGCCGACGGCGGGCGCGAGCTCGGAATCGGGCGGTCGCAGCTCTGGTAGCCGATTCTTTTCAGCGTTTTGATACTCGAGACTCGAGCTTCTGATCGTTCCCTGCCGATGTTTGTGAATCCCTTCCCCGTGGATCGCCTGCATCTCGAGCTCAATAGAGAAAACGAGCATCGTCTCTGAAATAGTTGCAGAGTGCGGATAAGTTGTCAGTCCCCGCTTGGATAGCAGACTTATTTCAACCGCCCCGACACTGCAAACTGAACTCGATCATGTTTCGTCGAATGGTGTGCGCATCAGCTCCGTAGCTCGTCTACAGCTCGAGCTATCTTTGAGAAGCCTTTACAAGGTTACAGAGTGCGAATAGTTGTTCGTCGCAGCTCGGGCGCAGACTTCAATATCAGCGCCTCGATACTTCAGAATGAGCTCTTGATCGTTTTCTGCGGGATAGTGTGCATGTCAGCTCCGTCGCCAGTCTGCAGCTCGAGTTATTTCCTCAAAAACGATCGGGAGATACCAAGTGCAAATATTTGTCCGGTCGCAGCTCGGGCAGGAGACTGATTTCAGGCGCTTCGATATTTATCACAAGAATTCACGACCATGTCGTATTGAATGGTGTGCATCTCGCCTCTCAGAGAGGCATGTAGCACGAGCCATCTTCGGAAAACCGCCATGGGGATTCCATGAAGTGAAAGTAGCACTTTCCGCCTCATTGTTTTTTTTCAAGTGCCATCCGCCCGATGGACCTGGGATCTAGGGGGCGAGCGGGAATGCAGATCCTAGTTGTTGGCAACCAATATTAAAGCCCTAACGAGTGGTTGGGTTGCGAGAACATAACTGGGTGTCCGCGGTAAACTTCTGATAGCTTTCGGAGGTCCGCGCGGATTTCGCGGATCGGCGCTGGGCCCCCCGGGGGCGCCCGCGGCGCGGGCCCCTGGCGCGCTCCGCGCGCCGGGGGGGGGGGGGGGGCGCCGGCGCCGGCCCGAGAACTCCGCGCGGAACTCCGAAAGTTTTTTTTGTTCCCATGCCAGCGTCTGCTCCTCGAGCCCAGGCTGCCGCCGCCGAGAGTCCAGCGGCGCGGCCTGCCTCCGTCGTTCGCGAGCGAGGGGTCCACCCAGCGCCGCCGCCCCGTCCGCCGCCCCCCGCGCGCCGCGGCGCGCGCGCGCGCTGCCGCGCAGCCTCCGCGCGCTCCAGGCGCGCGGCTGGGAGCGCCCTATCGGATTGCAAGGCGGCCAGCGCCGGGGTCCAGTCCACGTCCGCGGCGTGGGCGGCGCGCAGCGCCCGCGAAGTCGCGGCCGCCGCCCGCCTCGCGGCGCCCGTGGAACGGGCGCGTTGCGAGCTCCTGCAACGCGAGACGCGCAGCAGGGCATCGTCCACAGTTGCGTCGGCGGCGACCCTGCCACCTTGCACTGCGGGGGGCCGCCCGGCTCGCACAACAGCTGCCAGCCAGCGGCGATGCTCGCGGGCCCCGCCAGCTCGAGGGGGGGCGACCCGCTTGCGTTGGTCTTGTGGAGGGCGATCGGAGCATTGGCGACATGCCGAGGTCACCGCCCGAAGGCATCGGGGTTGGTTAGTTAGTTTCTGAAGCGCCAGCGCGATGCATCTTGTGAACAGTGCTCTTTCTGCAGCGACCATTCCAAGTTTGCGCGCGCGCCAGGGGCTCGGTTCGCAGGTGGATAGCAGCGCTGCAACGCGCCAGCTGGCGACTGGATGTTCACAGGCGGTGGCGCGCCAACGACGATGACCGACCGCGCGGAACTACTGCCCGATCATCGCTGCCCTATCTTGGGAAATCCCAGACGGAAAGAATGAGACTTGAGCGAATGGCGAATACATGGGCCGCTGCTAGGCCGCTGCCCACTTTGTTCGTGCCACAAAGGTTCTGTATCGGAGCGGTGCTCATGGCCAACGCGGGGTCACACAGCCCCGTTGGGTCACAGTGTCATCGCGGGGTCACCGACTCGGCCGCGGCGGCGCTGACCGCTGGGCGCCAGCGGGCGCTTCAGTGCGAGTCGGTGACGTGGCTGGGCGCGGCGTCATGACGATGCAGACAACGATGGGCGCGATGATGCGAGTAGCGACGACGGTGGCGATGGTGGCGATGACCGCAATGCCAATGATGGCGTCAATGTTCATCGCGCCAGCCGATAACGATGACAATGTCCTCGCGTCGGTGATGACGGTTTTGGAAGGAGTTCGACATGCGCGCGCGGCCGACGCGCGCGAGTGGCCCGCGCGGTATTATTTGACACTGACCGTGCCCCCCAGCACGCGCGCAAGGGCGTCCGGATGAGTTCGACATGCGGCAAGCCCGTTTGACAGATTTGAATGGCAATGCCGAACAGCTTTGCAGATGTCGCCAAAACGCGTAGGCCTTAAAACAATGGCGTTGCAAAACGCTGTGTTGCAATTGTGTGTTTCAAAAGACTCGTTTTCGAAACCCGTGCGACAACGAAGGTTCCCGATAGATTTCGGCATGCGCGCGCGACTGCGCGCTCGTGTACTTGATCATATATGTTGCAAGTGGTTCTTGCGACAGCAGGCGCGCAAGGGCGTCCGAGCGATTTCGACCTGCGCACGCGAGAGGCACGATTGGCAGCATGTGATTCGAAGCTTGAAGAAATTGTCGTTTTCGCAAAACTTCACCAGAGCGCGGTCGCAGGTTTTTATTGAAAACTGTTTTTGTGAGGACGCTCGATTTTGTCATCCTTACGAAACCTCAGGTTTTTGAAGGATTCCGGCATGCGCGCCCGACGTCGCGTGCGTGCGCATTTCGCCCCATCTGCTGCAAGGGGCTCTTGAACACTTACTTCTGATTCCTGATAAACGAGTTCGCGAACATTGTATGTTTGGCAGAAGATGAGGCGACGCCAGCACCGACGCCGCCGGCGCCCACAACCAGCACCCAAATCTCCACCAGTGCCACCCAGACAGCAACAAAAACCACCGAGACGGGCACGAGTTCCACGACTACCACGACGATCACCAGGGCGACCACGAGGACCACCGAGACAGGCACGAGCTTTTCCACGTCAAACTCCACAGCCACCACCGAAATGGTGCTAACCGCAAAGACTGTATTAATGAGTCCAGTACTGGCAGGATCACAAGAGTTGGTGGTGGAGTCTGAGGAGGGCTTTTCTGTAGGGGACGCCATCGTGATTACTGGTGGCGGCAATTCGGAGACACGTGACATCGCGAGTTTTGGATCCATTGTGCTCGACGCGCCGTTGGACTACGGATACCCAGCGGGTTCCAGGATCACCAATTCGGGCGATAGTCATTAGAGCAATGCGCCATCGACGGAGGAGCAACAAGACTCCGAGGCATTGCTTGCAGTCTTCGCTGGTGTCGTGATCGTCCTCCTGGCCTGCGTCGCGCTGGGCTTGGGTTGTTTGATTGTGCACGGATGTCCCGGCTGTGGCAGGAGCCCAGCGCGCGACGCGCAGAGTGAGATCAGCGCGTCAAAGCACCAGGCGGACCAGGAGATCAGCGTGCTGGAGCACCAGTCGGACCAGGTGGACGCGGAGATTGATGAGCACCAGGCGGACCAGAGCACCGAGTTGTTGGAGACCATGGACTTCTGGTTCCTTCCAGTGGAGGCACTCATGAAAATGCCGCGCAACATGCCCGTCTTCCGACACCAAGTGTTGAGGGACATTGGTCTGTTGGTAAAGCGGACCATGACCCAGGAGGACGTGTTTGCTGGGCGGTTTGTTGCTGACACAGCAGCAGTGTCCCACCGCTGGCCAGAGCCAGAACACGCCGATCCGGACGGCAGCAAGTTGTGCGAGTTGCAAGATATATTAGCCAGGAGCCCCTCGATCAAGTTTGTATGGATTGATTGGGTATGTGCACCTCAATGGCACGGCGGCGGGCGGACCAAGGAGGAGGAGGAGGAGTTCAGGCTGATCTTGAAAAACATTTTGCCTTTCATCTTTCTTGGGTGCACTGTTATTGTGCTGTACGATCGTGTCTATAATCAACGGTTTTGGCCAAACGTGGAGTGTTGGATCGCCACCAAGATTGCAACGGAGGACGGGCTAGTGCCAGCTACCGAGGACAGGCTTCGAGTGAAAGTCCACGGCGTAGAATCAGCAAAGAGTTTGAATTGCACCCGTTGGGTGCTTGACAGTTGGCACCACGTTGATGCGCAGAAGGCTATCCGCATCCTCTCTCAAAAAGACATCTTGGTCACAAACGCCAGAGACAAGGAGATCAACTTGAAAGTAGTCAGCTCTCTGGACCGCATGATTCACAGCCGTCACACTGCGCCATCTAAGTAGTTGGTATATGTTGTGCATGTGCGGTAGGTATGCTCGTTCTCGTGATTATACAAATTGTGTGTGATTGCGCCTCTTGATCATGTTCACAGACAGGAGGAGGACGGGCTGGGGGAGGAGGTAGCGAAATGGGAATGGGGAAAACGACATATTGGGAGGGCTGTCAGACCGCATCCGTAGACGGCTGAGCTGTAGCCTCGTTGTCTGGATATGTTTCAATCGTTTGCTTGACGCCTACAGAAGTTGTGCATTTAACGTTGCCGCCCCTACAGCGCTCCGCGACAGTCTGCGATCGGACGAATGACGCTAGAGGGATGAGGAGGAGGAGGAGAAGGAGGAGGAGGAGGAGGGGGAGGAGGAAGAGGAGGAGGATGAGGAGGAGTTGGGTTGCGGGCCAGAATCAGCAAAGATGGTTCGCCAGTTGCTTGCGAGGTCCGCTCATACATGAGACTCTGTCGCGCACGCTTTTTCCAGTTGTTACCCTGCTGGTGGACAGTGCAACTGGTTCACGGCTTGAATAGCCAGCCAGACAGGATTCTTGCCTTGTCAATTCATTATTTCTTCTCCTTGTATATGCTTGATTCCTACCACATGATTCCTTTTTTCTTCCCCCAGATTTGGAATCGCCATCCCCATCGGCGCACGAGCGAGGCGCGGGTTGAACAGCAAATGCGGCATCCAGGCACGGTGACGGGATGTGTATAGCGTTTTCCCTATTGCACAATGTTCTGCAGTACCTTCCCCATTGATTTGCAAAGGCGGAGGTTCTATTCGTGCTCTGCTTTATCACGCCGCTCTCGTTCGGCCGGATTCTGCAGAGCGTTCGGGCCCGAAGCCGATTCTCTAGAGTAGTCGTTATCGGTATGGGCTGTTCCGCAGCGGCGCGGGCTCAATGAACCGACAGTCGTCATTGCTGCAGGCACGACGCATGCCTCTCATTGCACACTCAGTAGTCGATTATCGGAGGTTGATAGACTTCCTACCCTGATACGTCGATTAGTGAATTGGCCGTTTTCGGTTCGCGAGAGGGCGTCGCGGCCGTCATTGTTGCGGGTCCAGGTCCGTCGGTTTCGGTCCTAGGCCGATTTCACTAAAGGGTGGTTTGCGAAAGGGAGGTTGTTCCGAGATTAGTTGCACAGCAGCGTTCCCTCCCCACGACAAAAATGAAGGGTCCAAGACGGCCCAGGAGGCTCCCCGGATGGCCCAAGAGAGCCCCAGGTCAGGCCCAAGAGGGGTCCTTTTAGCCCCAAGAGGCCCCAGCGGGGCCCAAAAAGGCTATGAGAGGCGCGCAAAAGCCACCCAAGAGGCCACTGGGAAGCCCCCAAGGGGCCCAAACGTGCTTTCCATCTGCACCCGAGAGGCCTCCACACTGCCTCCAAGATACCTCAAACGCGCTTGCGTTTAAACTAAAATGTTGCAGAACATATTGATTTCTCCCAACCATCATGTGGTGTTGGGTCCTCGTTTTGAAGAGACAGCGCCCCGCGTCATTGACCCTTCTCCTCCTCACCCCTCCACCCCACCCGCCCACTCCCTCCTCGTGTCGTTATGGTCACAATTCTCATCAGCATCATCATCATCAGCAGCATCATCATCATCCTCTTCCTCTTTATCATCATCAGCATCACCAGCATCATCGTCATCGTCATCATTATCATCATCAGCATCATGATCACATCATCAACATTTTCATCATGATCAGCATTATCATTTTCATCATCACCATCACACCATCAGCATTATCAGCATCATTCGCATGACCATCATCATTATGAGCATCATCATCAGCAGCACCATCATCACAAACACCACCACCACCACCACCATCACCGTCACCATCATCTGCATCTTCGTCGTCGTCGTCATCGTTCTCATCATCGCCATCACCGTCACCACCAACATCATCACCGTCACCCTCCTCCTCCTCCTCCTCGTCCTCCTCCTCCTCATCATCATCATCATTATAATCAGCATCATCATCGTCGTCATCATCACCACTACCATCATCATCATCATCATTACCATCATCAGCATCGTCGTCGTCGTTGTCGTCGCCGTCGTCGTCGGCACGGCCGTCATCATCACCATCATCGTCATCACTCCCGTTTCGGCACACCCCGCACACGTTTCGTGGAGCCATATGAAGCTACATCTAAGGTTCCACTGGTGCCGCCCGCATGTGGGCGCCACCTCCGTTGCGGCACACTCATCACACGCTTCGTGGCCCCATAGGGTGCCCTGCCTAAGGTTCCATTGGCGCCGCCCGCATGTGGGCGCCACCCGGGATCGGGCACACCGCTCACACGCTTCGTGGTCCCATAGGGAACCGCGCCTACGGTCCCTCTGGTGCCGCCCGCATGTGGGCGCCACCCGGATTTGGGCACACCGCTTACACCATTCGTGGCCCCATAGGGAGCCCCGCCTAAGGTTCCGTTGGCGCCGCCCGCATGTGGACGCCACCCGGGATCGGGGACACCGCTCACACGCACCGTGGCATCGTAGGGAGCCGAGCCTAAGGTCCCACTGGTGCCGCCCGCATGTGGGCGCCACCCGGGTTTGGGCACACCGCTCACACGTTTCGTGGCCCCATAGGGAGCCCCGCCTAAGGTTCCATTGGCGCCGCCCGCATGTGGGCGCAATCCCCGTCATGGCACACCCCTCACACGTCTCGCAGCCCCACAAGGAGGTCCCCCTGATGTCCCACTGGAGCATCCCGATGTGGGCGCCCCTCCCGCTGCCGCGCACCCCTCACGCATTTCGTGGCCCAATTGGGGCCCCAGCTGAGGCCCCATTTGTGCAGCCCGCCTCGGATGCGCCCGAGAAGGCTCAAGTTAGCCCAATGACAGCCCCCAAGACGGCCAGCAGGCCCCCAACAAGCCCTGAGGCGCCCCCAGGACACCCCCCAAAAAGCCCCAGAAGCGGACCCCAACGGCTTCAAAACGGCTCGCAAGGGGGCCAAAGACGCTTCTTTTGCCTCGAATTGCGCTTTCCCGGGAACGCCTCCATACGCCTCCCCTCCTCAGGGCTGCGATGCATCGTTCTGTGCATCACGCGGCCTTAGAGGGCTCCGTAGATATCCGAGGCAATGGTGCCTTGCCGATGTGACCCAGAGGATTTGTTTGGCGTCCGGTGCACCGTGGTTTGACCCTGTAGTTCTGGCCTGGAGGAGAGGCGGCCTTCGTTGCACCGCGGCTTGGTCTTGGAAGTCTGGCCGGGAGGGGGGGCGGCCTTCGTTGCACCGTGGTTTGCCCCGCAAGTGCCTTCTCCAAAGCTTGCTGTGGACCAGAGGATTGGGCTTTGTGGATGGCTGTTCTGCCCCGCGCGGTGGCTGGCCTCCGTTGCATCGTGGCGTGGCCCTCAGTTTTAGAGGCTCAGCAATAGTGGCTCCCTCCTCCATGGCGAGCTCCACGTGCTCTGGGTGGGTACCCTTTCCCACCTAAAAGTAGGTTTATGACAGTTCCCAGACACCCCCTGATGACTCTCAAATGACCCCATACAGCCTCAGGAAATAACAACATTCATTGAAAGCCAAAAGAGTCGTTTTTACGTTTGCTTACCTGCGGCTTCGTGTTTGATGTTGTTGCGGTTTCGTGTTTCATGTTGCCGATATCGGGGCTCTCTATGCAAGAGAGCCCCGCTATTTGGCCAAGGCGGGCGTCCAGATCACCCCACGACGGCCCACGATGGCCTCGCATGGGCACCAGAAGGCCCGAAACGGTTCCAAGAGTGTTCGGCAAGACCTCCCAGACGGCCCTAAGACGGATTCAGAGGGTCCCTCCAGGAGTGATTTCGAGAATTGATTAGCAACATCTTAGATAGCACCCCGTCGCCCATCACGGGGGCAGATACCAATCGGATAAAATTTGTGGTAGGTCTTCGCGGCCACGCTCTGCAGCTCCAGCTCGAGGAACGAGCTGCCGAGAACCAACCTGACACCATCAGAACTCTGGTGCGGCAGCAGATACTACGAAAAATGGCAACAATCAGCAAGGCCCTCGCCCCGAAGATGTGGTCGAACAAAAACTAGCTGTGCATCTGAACTCTGGAAGAGCGGGCCGCAGAGTCCGAAGCGTATCATCACGGCCAGGGGCGATGTCCAGGAAGAAATGGCACGTGAAGTATGAGGCCGCCGTGGGTCCTTGCTGCCTGTTGTGCAGCACCCGCGAGACGGCGGGGGCCAGAGCCCCCATCGCCCCCGGGGGCGGCGCCGGCACATGGGCCCATCGGGGAGCCTGCTCTGCGGCCCATGCATAGGCTGGCGGCGGCGCTTCGGGCCAGGGAGGTCCTCGTCATCCCCGGTCTTCCCGGCGAGCCAGTCCACCAAGTACGTCACGAGCGGGCCGTCCTCGGTCCTGGCCGGGGCCACGGTGATCACCCGAGGTTGTTGTACTTGGTGTCAAACGCTGCCGTGACGTACCAGGCATCCCGAAACTCCTGAGGCGCGGCCATCGACACTACAAGGTACCATGCCCACGGGCGCGCCGGGTCTTGGTGCCGGTCTGGGTGCTTGGGCTTGAGGCAGAAGACCGCCTTCTCGATGTCAAGAGCGACCATGTCTTTGAGGTGCTTAAGAGAGGCCTCTACCCGCTAGTCGTGGTGGCCTCCGTCTGCCAGCTTCTTCCACGTGGCCTTCATCGTGACCACCATCCTCGCGAAGAGTATCACGCGCAGCGACGTTCCGGCGGGATGTGGACCCCTGTCTGTTGGCTTGGCCTCTCTCCACTCCTTCCGCTGGGTCACCACCTGGGTTTTGACTGCTGGGTCTTTGAGCGATATTGCAATCGTGGACCGGTCCGCCAGCTCGGCGATCGACCTGTTGTGTGCTATCAATGAGCCATGGTTCGCTGCCGGGGCGCTGGCCGACCTGAGGCCTCTGCCCGGCCGGCGGCTGCTGGGCCGACCCGGCCGCTCTGGCCGCCGCTAGAATTCCGTCCGCCATGACTGCTGGCAGGAGGCGAAATCCAACGTGCGTGCTGGGCCGATATGTCCTCAGGTGACAACATTTGCTCGTACTGGCAAACTGGCACACCATGAGACATGCAACGTTTGCGACATGCTCCCGAATGCACACGCAGGGGAAATACACCTGGGATGTCGGAGACCACACTGGTCGCAGCTCGAATGCCATCGCAACACCGCGGCTGGTCCGTATTGTTTCACCTGGGACTTCGGAGCACGCGATCTGGCCGCCTGCACAGCCTGCTCAGCGGGCGGGCGCCCAGGGGGGGGAGGGGAGGGGAGGGGAGGGGGAGGGGAGGAGAAGGGGAGGGAGGGGGGGGAGCAGAGGAGGAGGACGAGGAAGCCGCAGCACCAGCCCAAGGAGAGGAGGAGGACGGAGGAGGACCTGGGAGAGGGACAGGGTCCAGCACCTCGTCGTTCTGACCCCTCGCGGCCGCCACGTGGCCTGAGGGCGCCGGCCCGCCCGCCTGCCTCCGCTGCTGCTGGCGCGCCGCGTCGGGGTACGAGAGCTCTCCCACAACGGCCCTGCAGCGAAGCTTCCCCTCATTCCCCCTTTTTCTTCCATCCACCATGCTCATTCTCCCTTTTCGCGCATCCTCCTCCTCCTCCTCCTCCTCCTCCTCCTCCTCCTCCTCCTCCATCTCCTCCTCCTCCTCCTCCTCCTCCTCCTCCTCCTCCTGGTCCTCCTCCTGGTCCTCCTCCTGGTCCTCCTCCTCCTGGTCCTCCTCCTCCTGGTCCTCCTCCTGGTGCTGTGTCAAGTCCGGCGCTGAACCCGTTTGCCGCATTTGGGACAGGTGACGAGCTCGAGAGACTGTGCTGCGGCCGGACGGCGAGCCGGGCGAGGGGCGACCTCCTCGTGGGCCTTTGCCGCCGCAATGTCTGGGCGAGTGTTGCGAGGAATGCGTCTGCCCACGTCGTCGACACGGAGCTCCCGACGCGCGCGCAACTCCTCCTCCTCCTCAGCGTGACGCATGTGATGAGCACCTAACGAATCCACTTTGCGGCGCCAGGCTGTCCAGGCAGCGACACCACGTCGCCATGCTTCCCGGTTGTGTGCCACCGCCTTCCAGGCATGCTCGTCAGCGGCCAGATGGCCGCCCTCACGCATCAACTGGCGAAGAAGCTCCCGGCTCTGGCTCGGCCGCGTCGCGCCCTGCTTACAGGCGCGTGGCACCATGCCTTCCAGAGCAAGCTGGCCGGAGGCGAGCTGGCGTTTTAACCTGTCTGTGGGGTGACGACACAAGTGGCCGAGGTATCCGAGTTTCCGTCTACCGATGGCAGTTTCAACAGTGTCGATGCCGACTCGCTCGCGCACGTCTTGCATCGTCAGCTTGCCTTTCGTGTCTATCATGGTCAATGTCGTGCTCTGCGCGATACCCCAGACACAGCGATTCATGAATGACGGATCAATGCCTAATTCTTTGGTGGTGAATGGCCGCACCTCCGCCCCGTGGAGCAGTGATGTCTGCACCGTCGCCCTGAGCACATCGCCTTTTTGCTTCAGGGTCAACCCCAAGCGCGGCAGCTGCCTGTATACATCACACCATATCTTGTTGGCCTTTTCGATGCGCTCATTGGTGTCTTTCAAGGTGTCCCCAGCTGAGGATAGCCAGTTGGTAGAACTGGGTTTAGTGGAGCCTGGTTTAGTGATCTGTACCGGGGGCGCCCCCCCGTCCCATTTCCACTAACCGGAACTGCCGTCACCTGAAAAACACCAGCTATGGCAAACCTGGTTTAGTGATTGTGGCCAATTCAAAGGCTCGGTTAGTGGTAGGGCCCTGGGGCCCCTCAATTGGCTTGATTCACTAGACCAGGTTTGTCGTAACTGGTGTTTTTCGTGTGGCGGCAGTTCCGGTTCGTGGAACTGGGACGGGGGGCCCCCCCGGTACAAATCACCAAACCAGGTTCCACTAAACCCAGTTCTGCCAGCGCTCGAGCGGCCGCGGCGGGCAGGGCCCCTGCCGCGCAATATGCGATCGACGCCCAGTGTCGGCATCGGCGCTGGGGCAGGATGCGGCGCCTCCTGCGGAAAGCGATGCGCCGGCCCTGTGCCTCAAGGTCTCCGCCTCCTCGGAACGGGTGGACGAAAGGTCGCTCGAATCGAACGATCTGCCACGTGTCTGAAGTCGGGCCTGTCCCCCTACTGGGGGACTTTCGACGGGAAATAAAAGAGACCCAGAATAATCCAAAACTAGTCCAACAATGGTCGGGGGACTATTTTTTTTTAGTTTTCTTTGCCTTTTTGGTGCATGTTTGGGGTATTCTTGTTTTTCGTCGAGAATCCCCCTGTAAGGGGGGCGCGCCCGACGTAACACTTGTTTGGATGCACAACTTCACGCCGTACGTGTGCCGAGGTCTCGCCGGGTGCCCGCCCGTCGACGCCTCGTTCGGCGCCCCGCGCGGGAGGGGTGTGTGGGGAGGTGTCGGTGTCGCGGGGTGCCCGCTCGCGGGCGTATATATATATATATATATATATATATATATATATATCAATAATAATATTAATAATAATACTAATAATAATAATAGTAATACTAATAATGATGATAATAATAATAATGATAATAATAATAATAAGAGTAATAATGATAATAATAGTAATAATAATAACTATGATGATACTACTAATTAGTAATAATAATAGTACTACTAATAATAATAATAATAATGCTATAAAAAGTGGGCGAAGGGAAGTTCGGTTTGTCCCTCCACAGGAAGAGTATTCCCAAAGTGTCAAATAATTGTATAGGGGACGTTCTCTATGACTATGTTTGAGTATTTGGGGATATGTCTGCACCTGTAGTTTTCAAGATTGGAACCAGCTTTGGATTATGCTTCCTTTTTCCTCCAAGCTCCGCCTGTAGGACACATGCCCAACGTAACGGTACATTGGAGTCCCATGCCAAGAAACACCCTGCTTGCTTCCAGGGCGCCCTGGGTTTCCTGGTTAGATGGATTTGCTATCTGGAAAGCGTGGCTTGCCCACACCGAGCGCAATGGACGCCCTGGGGTCCCAGGGTTGGGCTTCTCGTGGAGGGCTTCTCGTGGAAGGGCCCCTTGCTGCATGCCGAGGTTGCGCCCGGTGCCCGCGTGCGGGCGCCTCCGGGGCGGCCGGGTAGCCTGCAACACACGGACCGCGCCGCATAGCCGGCACCACCCGGCCCGCACCACGACGCTGCCTGCACCACACCGCTCGCACCACGCGTGCTGCACCACACAGCTCCCGCCACACGGCGTGCACCGTGGCACCGGTACTGCACAATGGCTTGCACCACGTCGTAGACTGCACCACTTGCACATTATAGCGTGGAGCAGAGACCTCTCTCACACACGCACACACAGTGCAGTAAGTTTCTGCTCGGGGTCCACGCTGGGAAAAGAGCATTGATTGAAAGGGGGGCTTGACGACGGAGGGCCGGTTGGAATATGATAGTGGCCCACTTGCACAGCTCTCGAACGTTTTTTGGGGGACCAGCTTTCCATCCTGTGGTTGGAGTTGGAGGAGGAGGAGGAGGCGGAGGAGGAGGTGGAGGAGGAGGAGGAGGAGGTGGCTCGTCGACGAAAATTGGCAGAAGCCTTCTGTCGTGCTTTTGATACTCGCCCCTCCTCCTCGCCACCACCTCTGCGCGTCCTGGAGCTCCTCCGCCGCCCTTCCTCTCGCGGAGAGGGGGCTCTTCGACCTGGCGGCCCTGCCATCCATGCTGGGGCACTGCCGCACCGCGGCCGCGGCGCTGGCCAGGGAGCTGGGCAAGGACCGGGCCGCCAGGGGGGCGGGGCCCTTTGGTGATGGGCCTGTTTTCCACCACCTCCTCCTCCACCTCCTCCTCCTCCTCCTCCTCCTCCTCCTCCTCCTCCTCCTCTCCGTCCTCCTCCTCGTCCTCCTTTTCCTTCCCCCTCCAACGTATGGTGGTGGTGGTGGTGGTGGAAAACAGGCCCATCATTTGGTGGGGGAACGGAACGAAGAACGACATAATTATAGCGACTCGGAGGTACGTGCGGATTTTTGGGATCGGCGCTGGGGCCCCCTGGCGGTGCCTCTAACGCCGCCCCTGGCGCGCTCCGCGCGCCAGGGAAGGGGGTCCAGCGCGGATCCAAGACATTCGCGCGGACCTCCGAGTATTTATGTTTATGTCATTTCTCGTTACCCTACCTTTGGCCGCATCTTGTCGTCGTCTTGTCGACGAGCCCTTCCCCGAGCCTGTTGCCCAAACAGTTCGACAGTGCCGATGGGTTTGTTAGACCATTCGGTTAGGCCGCCTGGCCATGCGTTGCTGCTGGGGTGCACCCCCTCAGCGTTCTGACACCGCGGGGTCGCGGGAGTGCGACACTCGCATGCGTCGCACTCCTATGTTTGCTCACTGGCGCCTCTGTGGTAAGGGGCAACGTGAAAGGCGGATGGGCTCCTGGGCGGGCGCATCGACCCCCCCAAATCTCAGGAGGGGAACAAAAACACACAGGCACAATGAATCGTCGATTCCCAGGAACAGATGGGAAAAAATTGGAGGTGTGGGGGGGGGGGGAAGACGAACATCCAGAAAATATGGCAAAATATGGGGAATCCTGTTTTTGCGTGCATTTATTTGCGTGTCCCAGGGTCCCTTCAAGAGCTCCGCTGCATCGCCTAGGGAGGGGGGACTCACGGTCGGGCGCCCCAGGGGATCTTTCATCCTCCGCCGGCGCAGGCGCAAACGGTCGGGAAGAGAGGGGCTGGAGTCGTGGGGATCGAGCCAGAGAAATCGAGGCACTCCGTACAAACCTGGGTAATCACGGAAGGAAAGACCACCCGGACCCGACGCTTGGCGTTTATTCAACGGCCTTGGGCGTTGACTAAAAAGCTCCCCCTATTCGATTCCTTTTCTGGGTGCGTTTATTGAACGGCTTCGCTTGTCGGGGTGGTTATTATGGGGGTGGATGTGTTGCTCTCGAGGTGAGTCCAACAGCATCGACATAGGTAAGTCCGTGTTCAGGCCTCTGTGGGCCCATGACAGGTCCCCGGGCCGTCACAAACTGCTCATTCTGAAAAAGCCGGTTTCCAGCAGGTTGACATGCTTGGGTGTCGCGTTTGTTGGTTTTACGTCAGAGGTATGAGTCCTTCTCGTCATCGTCCTCCTCGCTCTCCCCCCAAGGGGGCCCCCGGTCTTCAGAGGCAGTTTCCGTGGCGCGCCTGATTGGATTTCAGTTCGGTCTGTGCCATGATGTGGCATTCGGTGGCCGGCGTTAACTAAGTGAGCGGTCTGGGGTGCGA